GTCGTGGCAGTGGCAGTGGCAGTGGCAGTGGCAGTGGCCGTGGCCGTGGCCGTGGCAGTGGCAGCGGCAGCGGCAGTGGCAGTGGCAGTGGCAGTGGTAGTGGTAGTGGTAGTGGTAGTGGTAGTAGTCGTGGTCGTAACAATTTGATAAAAGAGACTTCAGCTATTAACAATAACCCTATGTTTCAAAAAGTGTACTATAAAGAACTACACGCGATGATTCAGTAGTATCATACTAATACAACATGAAAACTTCAATACTAGTAGGGATTTTAGGGCTTCGTCTGACGGCTGAAAGCCAGAGAACATCGGGTTCGAAGACAAGGTCTCTAGAAAGGCTGAGGGGGTAAGGTTTATGGTTTAGGGTCTAGCGTCTAGGGTTCAGGGTTTAGTGGCTGAGGCTTGGAGTATAGAGATGATGACTGGGACTGAGGGATTTTCGGTGTGCGGTCTAGGTTTCAGGGATGTCACGGCCTTAGTCGGAGCTCTCCCTAGACCCTAAACCCTAAACCCTAAAACTCTAAGTTCCTTAGGATCCTTTTTAAAGGGTTAACAAAGTATGCACGAGGAGCATGTCATCCCGGCCAACTCGCGCCGGGCCAAAAGCCAGTACCTTCTGCTAACCATGGGGGCCGGGATACTGCAATTAGACGATGGTGACGTTCTAAATCGAGGGTTGTTGAAGGCGTCCTACAGAGTCTTGTTTCAAGTTCTGTAAGGCTTTATATGACCTTGTGGCCTTGAATAGGGTTATTTTTTAAAGGGTTGCTTTGAAGGGCTCTACAATAAGGAAATTAAGGTCGTGAGGACTTGTAGGGCATAGGGGCCTTACCTTACAACAGGGTCTTGGGTCTTGGTATATGTTGTAAATACAGTTATGTAACTACAGAGAGTTGTAGTATAACAGTAGGTGTGCCAATTCTTCAGGCTTCTACATACTTGACAGCGGCCCGAACCAAAAATCTTCTGTGCGACCTCACCAACAAAAGAATGGTTATGCTTGAAGGAAACCTTGTTAAGAGACACCAGGTACACCGGCACCACTTTGCGTCCAACGATCAATGGCCGGTTGCAGGTCCTTGGAACAATCTTTACAACTAAGAATAGTAGTGCCAGCACAAGTACGAAGGCGAGTACGACTAGGAGTAACTAGGAGTCGGGGTCGTGGTCGTCATAGTCGCAGAAGTGCGTAAATCGCCGTCGTCATACTCAGCAGCAGTCGTCGCACTCGGCGTCGTAATCCAGATGATGCGGGTTGTAGCTGTAGCGGTGGCGCAAGTACGACCCTGGTGGAGGTGATGACGATGATGATGATAACGTTGGTGCTGATGACGTTGGTGGTGATGATGATGATGAAGATGATCTAGATGATGATCACGATGATGATGATGATGATGATGACGACGGTGCTGGTGGTTATGATGATGACCAAGCTACAGCAATGCTAACTCATATGATGAAAACGACTATGAAAATGAGGATGGGGACCTTCCGAGCCTCGACTCTAAATCCTATATGGTTTGACTAAAGCAAACCCGCAACCTTCGAGCATCACGGGCAGGAAGGGGGGCTGGAAAGAGCAAGTTGTCCAAGCATCATCGAGATGAGAGCCGCCGAAGCCACAAACCACCACGATGGGACTCTCAGAATCTTTGAATGCATAGTACTCCTGGGATGTTCTCCAACCTCCCCCCCCCCCCCCCCCCGCCTGAATCTTTACCTTCATCCGTTCCTCAAGCACTTGTTCAGTTTTACTGAAACGAAAGGCTATGTTAAAGAACAAGCAAGATTCAACATCGACCATAGATGAAGCCCAGCACAC